CGCCCCGGCGGCGCCGGCCGCTTCCTCCTTCGGGGACCGTCCGACGCTCGGTCCCTCCGCATCGGTCGGCGGAAACGCCCCCGACGCGGTTTGCGGCGTCCGGGCGCCCGCGAGTCCGCCGTTTGCCGACCAAAGCGTGGCTGGAGGAGCTCAAGTGGATCGGAGCGCCCCGGCGGCGCCGGCCGCTTCCTCCTTCGGGGACCGTCCGACGCTCGGTCCCTCCGCATCGGTCGGCGGAAACGCCCCCGACGCGGTTTGCGGCGTCCGGGCGCCCGCGAGTCCGCCGTTTGCCGACCAAAGCGTGGCTGGAGGAGCTCAAGTGGATCGGAGCCTCTGTGGTGAGTTTGACGTCCGCGAAAAGGTCACGCCGGGACCGGCAGAGTCCCGAGTACGAGTCCTCACGTTTGTGCGTGGGTGTGGCCATGCGTTTGTGTTCATCAGCATCGCAGGCGAGCGCCCTCAACCCTTCCCGGGTCTTCGCCAACAACTCGCTGAGCTGCCCCCACGCCGCTGCCACTCCGTCACGCGTGCCGCCGTCGCCCACCGTCAACACGCGCGAGGCCCTGGGTGAGCGCCGCCCCTTTGCCGGCCGAAGCCAACCGGCACCTTGACACGCGCGCCTCGGAATGTTTTTCTCTTGCTTTGACTTGGAGCAAAAATTGGAGATGGGCATCATTTGCGTTGTAAGCGCGGTCACAGAAGGCGCTCCACTTGTATCTCAAGGCACCGTTGTATGTGTGAAAGCGAACCAATGATCATCATCTCCATTTCCTCCCAAAACGGGCCCTAACCGTGGCTGTGTGCGTTGCAGATGTGATCATGGGAATGTTCCAGGCGCCCGCGCTGACCGAGGCCTCCTCGGGTGACACGTCAGCGTTCGTCGCCGGCGGGAACCCGTCGGATGATGCAAACGGTACTGTTGATCCAGAGCGTGAAATGCCATCGACGGGCAGAATGGAAGCAAAGTTGTCCCGCTCATTCGAAAGTCCGCCGCCGCGCGAGGATTTTTCAAATCTTGTTGTCATTGAGTGGAGCTAAAAGGCGGGCACATTGTGGGGCAACGTGCTTCTACACGGAAAGCACGCGCTTCCAAATCAGCACTCGGCTTTGCCGTGTGCTGTTTAAAAAAAAAAAAAAAAGCAATAATAATAATAAATACATCAATGCATGGTGGCTTTTAAATGTGCGTCATCGGGGCGGAGCGGTGTGTCAAACCTTTGCCTTCCTCTGCTGCCACTTCCTGCCTCACAGGCTCCGACCCGCCGGGCATTTCCGGCGCCGCGGGACCCTTCACCGTGTACCAAGATGACGCCAGGTCAGTCGGCAGATGACAAAATGTCTCATCGCTGTCGTCCTTCGAGTCAAGTGAACTTTTGTGCGTTGGTCTGTTTTGAATTTGGGATGTCGTGGTCCAGTTTTGTGCTCTTTTGCCCGTTTGAAAAGTCGTACGCAAAAAACACGGTGTCGTCTGTGCGCGTGCGCAGCGCCACCGCTTGCGGCACGCTGAGCAAGAGCAGGGCCACGCGAGGCCGAGGCTTGTCCGACAACTGGACGTACGGCGGCGCGTCCCGGCGCTCCACCGACACGTCGGACGATGGACGCCAGGAGGCGGCGGCGGAGGACGGGCGGAGCCAGCGCGACCAGAGGGCCGCGTGGGGCGATGGCTGGCTGGCGACGTGTCCCAACAACACGGCCGACTTTGCCCTGGCGGCGCGCTGCGTCTCCACGCCCTTCGCGCTCAAAGGGGCCGGCGCTGCCGCTTCCCAGGGCGCAGGTAAGGCGCGCCGCTCCCCGATCACTGCTCAGGGATTTTCAAGGACCTTTCTTGGTCCAACTTCTCCCAATCCCTTCCGTCGTGAGTTGGCCGGTCTCTCTGGGATGCATGCGCGCACCCTCCCGCACTGGCGTGCACTTGAGACGTTGTCCGTGTCGTGTTTGCAGTGGACGCGACGTGCGCTGGCGGCGAGGCTGACGACGAGCCTTTCATCAGGCATTTGCACAAGCTCAGGTGAAAAGCTCCCACGACTCGTTTCTTCTTTTTGTGCACAAACGTGTCCGAACCGCGGCGCGCAACCGTCCGCGATGGCCGAAGCGCGCGACGCCGACTCGCTCCCTGAAACTTGGGAGGCGTCCTTTTGCAACCTCCAAATGACCCGCACCATTCATTTGTGGTTTTGCAAAGAAAAAAAAAATCTGTTTTCCATGTGGATAAATGGAAGTATTTCGCTGCCTGTCAAGACTTGGGAAGTCGAGCGGCGCGGGCGTTTCAAGCGAGACCGACAGGAAAATGAAGCCAGCGTTTGGCACGTTTCAAGTCAAAACGGACGCCGTTGATCCTTCACCAAGCTGCTTCCGGGCAGCTTGGTGAAGGAAGGATGGCTGACGACCGCTTGCCGCGGGCCCAAAATGCCGGCGATCCGTCGTGAACTTTCGTCCGCCGTTTGTCAGTGTCGGCGCGCCGCCTTTCCGGGCTTTCGCTTGACATTTCGAGCCGGTTCTGCTCTCCGAACGGCGTGCGGATGTTTGGCCGTTTGGAAACGCCGCCGAAGCTCGATTGTTGCGTCCGTCGTTGATGGCTTCTCGTGCGCCTCCCCCAACTCAGTCCCATCATGGAGCAGAGTCCGCCCGACCTGGAGCCTTCCGCCAGCGCCGCCCGTCGGTCGGCGGCCTCGGGGGCACATGGCGGGACCGTCGTGAGCGAGGGGCTCGGCGCCGAGCAGCTACCCGCCCGGTG